TTCATGCGAGTTTGATTTTGAGAATGAGAACGGTATCTTAAAAGTGATGATTTTCTCGCATGTTTGAAAATGGTTTTAAAAAGGAACTTTATACAGAACACTGGTTGCTTACGGCAGTTCTGTTAGCCCTTAGCGGGCCATGGTACACCTAGCTAGCAGGGTGTTTATAGGAGATACTAGCCCCATGCGATGGCCAATGCATGTGGAACGGAGGGATGGTTATTCATGAGCATAGTACTCACGTTTGTTTCGTAACTTCAAGCCGCGTTTGGTCAGTAATACCCTCGTGGACTGTGTGTCCACGTTTGTTTCATGGCTTCGACTGCGTTTGATTACTTACCCTCATAGATTGTGTGTCCACATTTGTATTCGTGGCATAAGTCGTGTTCGGTTATTTACCTTCGTGGACTGTGTGTCCATGTTTGTTTATCATTCTAATAAGTCTCTAAAAATTTGTGAATTTGACTATTTGGTGATTTTATATTTCATTGATTTTTATCTAGTAAATTATTTATAACTATTTATTTCATTTATGTGCTTTTTGAAAATTAAGTAATAAAAACATTTGTTATGATATTTCGATGGTTTAAGATTTTATTTAAAAAATTTTATAGAGTCACTTTATTTTGAAGTTTATTAAATTTTTATGAAAATTGTTGTCTATTTGACTTACATAATTATTTCAAACTTTCCTTTTTAATCATGTTTAATTATTTATTATTGGGACATTATTCACTAAAAAATATTTTATTTGGTCTTAGATACTAAAGCTGATTTCGTACTCCCTGCTGATCTCTGATGTGCTCATTGTTGAATTGACTAGAAGATTATTTTTGAGAATATCATCTTATTCATATAAAATTCGAAAACCTATATAATATCTTTTGGAAGTCCAATTTAAGAGTGCCACATTAACTATAGTTAGGGTCCTGTCTCTTTTTGTTATGTTAATTATTTGCTGTTGAGGAGCAAAGTTTTATATTGTTGGATATATGTTGTAAATTTTTTGTTGAAGAATTTTCGGTGAATTCTACCTTTAAGGGAGGTGCTGTAGAAATTTTATAAAAAATTTGATATTTTGATTTATGTGAAAAGTAAAACTTGATACATTAATTTAAATCTTTTTCTTAATCAAGCTTTAAGATGTGAATTTGTACATATATTTCATGTCAGTCATGTTAAAATTTTAGGACGTGACACTTCTATATCTCAAATCACCAACCAGCAAGAGAAGGGAAGGAGAGATCAAAACTCACACTAAACAGGGGAGAGGAAAGAAGGCTGGCTTCCACACCAGCACCTCTACATCGGTGATGTTCTCCACAAACACGAAACAGGGGAGAAGGTCGATTATGACCGCACCGGAACTCCTTGCAGCAGCGGACGGATAAGGATGAAAGGGGAGGGACGAGCCTTCACGTTGCTGCTAGAACCAAAGAGGGAAGGAGAAAAAAAATTACAGCAGAGAGAAGAGAAAGAAGAAGAATGATAGCACACTCACAGCTGCAACTCTGACAGAGGAGGAAGAACGGAGGACTTGCGAGTTTCCTAACACCCACAACGGCGGTGGATGATGCCCCCATAATTGCCAACAACGAATGATCAGTGTGGAGGAATATGAAATTTCTCTCCCCCCCCCCCCCCGGGGTTGCAGCAAGCAGAAATGAAGGGAAAAAATTCTGATGGGTTTGATTTTTATTTTTTAAAAAGAGGAGCGTTATGGTAATTTTGCAAAGCTGAGAAAAAAACATCCTAGTCTCTTCTTTAGTTTTTTTGGCATAAGCAATAATGAAACTCATGACTTGATAAAAATAAATTATCAACACAACTCCCACTAGATCAATAATCCTTCTCAATAAAATATTTTAAATCTATATAATATATATATATATATATTTTATTTCTAGGTTATTACAGGTTAGCAATCATCAATCCAAATTCTAGAGTCAAGTTTTAGACATCTGATGAAAATTTTGACTCTATGATTGTTCACTGTAAGAAGAAAAAAATTTGTATTTCTTTGCCCTTCCTTTTTCCATTTCACCTGGGCTCTTTGTTCCCAATAAATATGTTGACAATCATAGGTAAACTCTAAATCATGCTTGACGTTTTGTAGCTGCTGTAGGAGATTTTTCTCAGGATAACGCAGAATCTAATACCGTAGTAGGCTTTTGGATCTCATTCTCAATCAAATTAATTCTATGATTTAGGTTCCCAACCATAGATTCCCTCGAGAGAGAGACTTGAAAGCAACCTTGACAGTTTAATTATGAATCCTAAAACTTGGGGATCCTGAAGCAAAATCTCGCTAACAAGCATAAACGATTTACTCACAATCTTTAAAATGTATCCAAAAGTTTTCAAATCTTCTAAGCATGTGTGAAGGAGGAGCCTCAAAAGCAGTTGAAAAAATAGCAGGACAATGATATGAAGTAACTCTTGAAAGATTAAGTAATTTCGAGTATGGAAAAGATTGCAACCACTCCCCGTTGGAAAAAGCTCTTTCAATTCGTTCCAAAGTCAAGTCAGAACCCTTCTTGTTGTTGTTCTAAGTAAATTTAGGACTATGTTGACAAATTTTTCAAAATGTTTATAAGTGAGATACATTCCTTGAATTGATTAGAAGAGGGTGAGTTTCTTGCCGTACTTGCCTTGTTCGAAGATAATAAGATTTGATTGAAGTCACCAATAAGTAACCAATGTGCACACATTGCGTTGCCAGTATTCTTTATCCAGTCCCATGGAAGAAACCTATCCTGAACCCTTGGAGGACCATACATGAAAGAGAATGTGTGACAGGAAATATCAGAAGGCATATGAAAATGCATAGAGGAACCATTCAAAACCATAACATCAACATGCTTCTTCCAAGCAACCACCGCGCCTCCACCCTTATTAACAGCATCCGTGCCAACTCCAAAGACAAGAAGTCACTTCAGCCTTAGAGAGAGCTAGACTAATAGAGATACTAGTTTCCTGCAAAAAGATCATATCAGGCTAAAACTTATTTACTAGATATTTCAGCCGTTGAACTGCCATGGTTTTTTTTTTTTCACCCAAAATACAAGAAGTCACTTTTTTTTTATTGAAACTAAAACAAGTTTTAAAATTTATTAATTATAATTTTAATGTGAAAAGACTTTTTCACCAACATGAAAATAAAAGATGGTCATCAGAAATTGTAATTTGCTATCTGTTATACTTATGTTTTTTTTTTAAAAGAAAACTAGTCATTTTAATTTCCAAAAGAAAATAGTCATTAATTTTTAGCTGTCAAACTTCATTAATTAAAAAATTTACACAAAGAAATTCGTAATTTGATATTCTATTCTAGTCATTTCCCTAAAAAAAGTAGTTATTTCTTAAAAAAAAATATGGTAACTATTAGTTGTTAGAGTTCACTTATAAAAAGATTTATATAGAATAACTTGTAATTTTCTATTTCATTTTAGTTATTTCTCTAAGAAAACTAGTCATTTCCTTAAGAAAAGTAATAACTGATTTTTAATTCTTGATCTTTACTGATAAAAAAATTTGCACATAGCTTTATTAAAAAAAATTTGCACATAGCAACTGATCAATTTTTAAAAAGTGCAAATATGTTATTTCACAAAAATATAAATGTTGTCTGGCAAGTCCTCAAAGACTAAAAAATAAATATCATATTTCACAGTACCTAATTATTATCTATACATTTTAAGTTATTTTTTTATCATTTTCTCTATTATTATTTATGGTTTATAAATAATCCAAATTGGGATGGATTTAATATTATATATATATATATATATATATGGACACATGAGTGATGAGTCATGCTAGTTCAATGATAATCATATAGATGAGCACTGAAAGCTCATTATCTCTAGATCATTCAGATTTAATATTCATATAATTCACATTTATAGCTTTTCAACTTGTAATTTTTAAATGAAAAACTTTTTTTTTTTGAAAAACTAACAGTTAAGAGATTATCTTTATTTTAGATTATGCATCTATTAAAATAATTTTGTTAAAAAATAAATGTAGAAAGTTGTAAATTTAGACCGTCCATCATATTATATCTGAACGATCCAAAGATGAAAATTGAAACTGGTTGCGTGAGGCCTGAAATTTAATTTTGAATAGTTAAAATATAAACTCCATCCTCTAATTTTGTATAAAGTTTTAGTTTCATTTCTTAATTTTATAAAATATCTTTTCATCAATGCTTTAATTCTAACATCATTAATTTTAAATGAATATTTTTATGTCAATCATTATTATTTTAAAAAAATTAAATTTAATATGTCAATATTTAAAAATATTTTATTAATATTTAAAATTTTAATGAAATTTTTTTCAATAAAAGAGAGTATATTGTGTGCTGTGCTTTACTCTTCTCCTTTCCCAATGTCGGTTTTAACACTTGACATGTGAGAGGATGATTATCCTCAATGCCACCATGACAAACGATCATTGACATAAGATTTCTGATGTATCCCAAAAAAAAAAAAAAGGAACAGAGAGGATATCATGGAAAAATTATAGTTTTAATTCTGGGTCATTATTTGTATTTTTTGTTGAATTTTATGAAATTTTTATTTTCTATTAGTCAATTATTTATTTGGGCCATGAGTTTATTTAAATTAATTTTTGACGATATTAAAAAACATATATAATAAAAAAATCGTTCTTCTCGAGGGAAATAGATTTTCGCCTCGTTTTGAATAGATGTTCGGAAACAAAAATTGTGAGACATTTTAGATTTAATTATAATTAAAATTTATTAATGCAATAAGTAATTAGTTTCGCTTTGTTGAGATAATTAATTGATTAAATTATTTAAATTCCTGGAAAGATAAATATAAAGATCTTGAAAACACGAGTTAATCTAAATCAAACTAACTATATTCAATTTGTAGATTTGCGTTCAAGCATAATAGCAGATGTCGACCCAGAAAATGAAAAATTTCAGAATCATAAAATGGACCTAATAACAGCAAACAGAACATACTGATTCAAACATGAATAATCTCAAGCCTTACATCACACATAAGAACAGAAGCTGATGGCGATACATAAGAACAAAGCACCACAAGCATTGCATACAACTTCTGAATGAGCTGCTTTTATTCGCAACATAAAACATAGAACGCAATACACACTGATGAACTTCAGGATTTGAATTAAGATTCAAATCCCATGACTTTGGCAACAAGATCGAGGATTGAAGGATGGGTACGTACTACTGGGCAAGATGAGAACCCAGGTCTTTGGCAATATCCGCAACTGTGTGAGAGTGTGAGGATCAGGAACGTGACCTTTCAGCCTTTCATATTCAAGCGTAACGCGCACCACACTCCCTTTATCCTTTGGAGTTGCCTGCAGAGTTATGTCCATGCTCTTGAAATCCTTCATGGTATCTCCCTCCACAGCTCTCAAAGTGATCAAGTTCTTGTTCCCATCTATGGCACGAATCACCTCCGATCCCTAGTTCCCTTCAGCAGATTTGTCAACCAGAAAATTTCTTCTTGTTTGCATCAATTTCATGTTCAAACATATTCTTCGATCTTGCTCCCTCTGTCCCAATATACAAGATGTTTTTAACTGAATTATGTAAACCAATAAAAGTTAGTTATTTAATTAAAAGCATAGCAACATTACAATTTTGCCCCTAATTATAGTAAATAAAAAATGAATCTCTTTTTCTCTTTTCAAATTAATAAGGGTATAATTATTCATTCATTAAAAAATATGCTAACACTTCTTTTATTTAGGAACAAAAAAAGATTTTAAAAAACTTCTTATATCTAGAGATAGAGGGAATATATATATACACATGCATTTGCATGAAGAAGTTAAGTGCTTATCATGGATGTAATGCCAGACAATGACAGAACCGACCTTTCCCCAGCTTCCTTCAACAATAGCATTTTGAATGTTGCCAGGAGAAATATTGGGAATGTGGTGTGGCCTGCTGCTCAGAATTTCATTAAATTTGTCCGCAGAAGCATCAATGTGAACATCAACTTCGACCTTCCCAGATAACTGATCCTCGTGGCCCTGTCCTTGTGAAAGTTGGGCATTAATGTCTCGGCTTATCTCTGATGCAGGCTGCATCAGAGAGTGAGGATCTGGAATTTGTGCGTGCACCTTCTCATATTCAAAGATCCGGTGGGCCACACTTCCCTTTTCATTTGGAATGCCTTGAATCGTGGCCCTGAAGCTCTTGTAATGTTCAAGCACATCGCCTTCTATTATTCTGAAAGTTATTGACTTCTTTGCTGCGTCTATGCCTTCAATGACAGTCTTGGCCTCGCAGGTCTTGCCATCTACGTATTGTGATATTGTCACAATTAATATTAATTTTTTTTTTTTCATAAAAAAAATTTAGGTGAGCTAAGTGCTGCTTATAGTTAGGACATACTTCCAAGCTTAAAAAAGACTTTGAAAGATACACTTATACATAACACTCATCAACAAGGTATTTACATAGATATCAGGATTTAGACTCACAATCGATCTTATGGGGTTATAGACCAAATCTTTATTAGTTAGACCAACATTTATTGAGAATTACTATTAATTATTTGATCACATGTAAGGATTTAATTTCTGGAATTTTTTATCATATTGTAAAGTCTCAATTAAAAGGAATCGCGAAAAAAAAAAATCCCATCATCTCATGCAGTACTGTGATAACTTTGATCCCCTCCAACCATATATAATCTGTGTGATCTAGAGAAATGATCAACACAGAGGTGGGCGTCGTTTGACATCAATATAGATCAGAGAGCTTGCTTCAATATCTTAAGACATACATATATTCAATATCGAAAGTAAACAAAAACCATGGACATAAAAACTCTGGACATTAAAATTTGGCATACCATGAGCATAATTCCAGACACTGATACCAACTTTGCCAAAATCACCTTAGTGCTTACTCACACCCTTGACTTTACCAGGAGTGATATTGGCGATTAAATAACAAAGTAAAATATCAAATAACAGTGCAAGTTTTTTTTTTTTTTTGTGGAAAATGACAATTGAGGGCCCTATAAGAACATTAAGTATAATTACAGACCCTAAATTATTGAGACCATAATAATGGATCATGATTCTTATTTGCAATTAAAAAAAATGTGAATAGTTGTTGGGAAATCAACAAAATACACTTGAGATTATTTATAATGCTAGTTAAGAATTTACAAGAGTCAATTATGAATCTCAATTTTTTTGCCGTCACAAATAAACCATTAAAAAATAAATAAAATATACTTAGAATTATTGTTAAGTTAATTGAGAATTGACAAGGGTCAATTGTGAATCTTAAATTTAATTTCATTTGTAAAACACTATAGGAGTAATTAGGTATTTTTTCCCAAAATTTTATTTTCAAATAGGCCTAGGTGCTAAGTGATATATATTTCAGAATTTTAGGATTTTTTTTAATTATTAGAAGGTTACAGCGATCCTTAAATGATATTTTCTTATGTTTTAATTTTAATAATCAGGTTAGCTAACTAGCGAGCTGAAAACTACTTAGAATGGGACGTAGCTACTCTTAAATTAAATAGTGGGACCAGGGTAATTCAATATTGATCCACAAAATAAAATATATTTTTACTCTCATTCATCATGAGCTTGGGTTTTTCTGATTTTTCGCAAAACAAGATGACACTTCGATATATTGAAATAAATGATTGCAGAGGAGAGGGAGGTCAGGGTCCAAAATCAGAGCCACTCACTTCTGATATTGGAGAAACACTTATTTTGCAAGCCATCTACCCCTCAATGTTCAGTTTCCACGTGAAAAATGTGGCTTCAACCTTATTATATAATTGTCGATTGTATATTGTATTGGTGATCTATTTGGATTAGGACGTATATTAAATATTTTTTTTTTTAGAATTTGGAATGAGTTCCAAACATTGCCTTGTTTGATTTTTGATTTTTTATTTTTTTTTCAATTTTCAAGAATAAAACAATAAAAATTATCTGGATAAGTGTTTTTGGATTTAAGTTATTTTTTTAAAAATAAAAAAATGAAACATGAAAAATCTTAAAGTTGTTTATAATTTTTTTAAAAATGGAAATTATCACTAGTTAACCCCCACTGCTATTATCATTTGCCATCACCTACCAAGATCAACTTCTACTACTAGTGGCCATTGCCAATCCTTATATAAGGGCCACAACAATAGATCACCACAATACTACAATTTCTGCCAGCCAACCAGCTTTACTATCATGCCAGCTAATTACCTTCAATATTGTCGATCACGTAGCCACCGTTGTTAGCAATAATCCCAACGACCACTACCATTAGTGAGTTGCCACCATTGGCTATTATTCATCACTTGCAAAACAATCACCAACCATGACCAATCACTATTATAAAACACTAGTAATCACTACAGTTAACTGACTATTTTTAAATTCAAAAGTTGTTTCAAATTAACATAATTCAATAGATTTTATTTTTATTTCATTTTAGAAGAATAGTAATTTTTAAAAGGTGGTTTAAATATTATTTTTCAAAAATTAAAAATTAAAACAAAATCAAAAAAACCCATTTAAAAAGTGAAATTAAAATTTTGGAGCTAAGCTAATGGATTGTTCTGACAAAGTCCAATTTTTTTTTAATCTTTTCGGTTTATTTAATATTTTTATTTTTAAAAAATATTCACTAAAGTTGGAAAAAGGTTTTTTTTCTTTATTATTTAAGTTGGGTTAGTATTTTTTGTTGTTTAGGTATATTCTATACTATATTAGTTATTTAAAGAATAATCATTATCATTAGTTGACTATTAGAAAATTCCCTGTTATTAATTGAGTGTTAACTAGAAATTTATTTGGCCAAAAAAAAGTTCACTAGAAATTTATGACCATCCAATTAGTTATACTTGAATTAGGTTTAATGGATTACTCCTTCCATCCTTATATATAATGTATTTTTTAAAAGTTTATTTTGTCCTTAAATATAAGGGGTGTCAATAATATTTTGAGTAATTAAACAATGTCACCCTTATGTTGAAAAACAAGCTTGAACTGAATAATTCATTTCAGAAAAATGTCACGTACGAGCTGGATTAGATCGCCATCTGTAATGTTTTACAAAGTAATTTCGCTACTCACTCACAAACACTGAGCGAAGCCTTAAAAAGCCAACATGAACCAAAAAACAAGAAACAAGAAATATAAACAAGACTGGCATTGGCACGTAAGGCCATTTACATGCAGGCCCAAAACAAAACGCTAACCCTAAACAATGACCTAACAAAAATTAACTCTTAACACTCCCCCTTAAGTTAGACCTGAAGATATTAAAAGTGCCTAACTTGTACAGCATACATTCACGTATTTTTTGACCAAGAGCCTTAGTTAAAATATCTGCCTACTACTCGCTTGACACCACATGTCTTAAATTGATTAACCCACTTTGAAGTTTTTCTCACACAAAATGGCAATCGATTTCAATATGTTTTGTTCTTTTGTGATGAAATGGATTTGAAGTAATTTGGATTGCATCCTTACTGTCATAATGAATACATGCAGGAGTTAAGTCATAAACATGCTAATCTTTAAACAAACCAGTAAGCCATATAACCTTAGACACAATACTTCTCATAGCCCGATATTTTGCTTCAACAGAAGACCTCGAAACTATAGTTTGCTTCTTTGACTTGTAGGAAATAATGGCCCCACCTAGTTTAAGTAAATAACTTGTAATTGATCTACAAGATTCTAGGCATGAAGCCCAATCTGAATCACAAAATACTTCCAGCACCATGTTTCTTGAGGAAGGAAATAAAAGACCTCTGTTAGGATCCTTTTTAAGACATTTTATAGCACTCAATTTAGCTTTTGGATGTGATTTTCTAGGATTGCTCATAAACTGACTTAGCAATTGAATTGTATAGCTTATATCAGGCCTAATAGTAGTTAAATATAGCAACTTTTTAATCAGACATCCATATCTAGTAGGATCTGTTAACAAGTCATCTTTCTCCCCCTTTTTAGGTTCACTATGAAGTTTTAAATTAGGATTTATAGGAACATTTCTTGGTTTTGAGGCTCCTAAACTAGTAGTAGCTATGAAGTTTAAAGTGTATTTCCTTTGATTAAGTATTAATCTTTTATCTGATTTAGCAATCTCAATGCTAAGAAAATATTTTAATAAACCCAAATCCTTCATTTTAAAATTTGTGTGCAAGAAATCTTTAGTTTTCTTTATCCCTTCTTTGCTATTTCTAGTTATAACAAGGTCATCAATATAGGCCAAAACAATACTAAACTCATCTTTATCTTGTTTAGTAAATAATGAATAGGCATATTTAATTTTAACCAAACCTCTAAAAATTAAAGCTTCACACAACTTTATATTCCACTACCTAGCTGCCTGCTTTAAATCGTATAGGGATTTAGTCATTTTACACACCCTTTTCTCCACCTATTTACTAGATCTTAATTGTTTTTTCTTATAAACTTCTTCATCTAAGTCCCCTTGAAGAAAAGCATTATCAACGCCCATTTGAATCATGTTCCATTTATTATTTGCAACAATGGCTAAAACTGTACATACAATTGTTGTCACACCCCAAAAATAGAGGGTGACCGGCAAAGGATGTGATCCATCACACATCCCTTAAGCCTTGAATTGGGTAATCTTTTCATAACTAAAAGATAATTATGTTTTAGTTTGAATTAGAACATACGTAAACATTTTTGGTAGTAATAAAAGTCTCAATATTTTGTAGAAATTTCGACAGAATCTCCTCCGTAAATAAGATTTCCCAAAAATTCTACAAGACAATATTTCAACCAAAAATATCAAGCCAATCAGGAGTAGAGCTCCTTCCAACTGACAGATAAAATATATAACCACATAAAAAAAAACTGACCACAGACTATGTGGAGCACCTAACAATAAATTTACAAAATAAAATTTCATAATTAAAACTTTACGTCAAGAGAAAGTTAAATCCTTAGCTCCTTCGCTTCTAATCAATCAAAAACTCCTCAATGTTCAGTGGGTGATTCAATGTCAGCTACACTATCTGAGACCAAAAATTATTTTCCAGTGAATAACGTCCCAATAATAAATAATCAAACATAAAAATTAAAAAAAAACACAATGATCTACAAGAAGACTTAATTAAATTCAGAATAAAAAGATTCTATATAACTTTGAACAAAATCATAATTCATTAAAGTATCGTACCAAATGTCATTTATCATTTAACTTTAATAAAGCAAATAATTGCAATAAATAATTGTAAACATGTCATTAATCAAAACCAATGAAAATAGATCCATAAAAATTTAAAAACTCATAAGTATAGGGACTTATCAGAATAAGTAACAAACGTGAACACATAGTCCACGAGGATAAATCACCAGACGTGGGTTATGCCATGAAAACAAACGTGGACACACAGTCCACAAGGTTAAGTAACCAGACGTAGCCGAAGCCACGAAACAGACGTGGACACATAATCCACGAGGGTATCTAACCAGACGTGGTCAAAGCCACGAAATAAATGCAGGTACAAAACCCACGAATAACAGACGTGAGAACAAAGCTCACGAAATCCAAACTAGCTAGTAATTGACCATGGCGCGCCAAGGGCTAACGAAACTGCCGTTAGCAATCAGTGTTCTGTATACAGTCCCATTTTTAAATTCACTTTCAGACATGCGAGAAAATTATCACTTTCAAAATACCTTTTCTCTTTTTAAAATCTTACTCGCATGAAACATATAAAAGAACCAATATTTCTAATTATAAAAATTCACAATTAATATCTCATAAACTGTTCACAAATTTTTATAATTGGCTTTATCAAATAAAGCACTACTAGAATTTAAGAAAGCATTTTCATCAATATAAAAATATAAATCATGACTTCAAGAAGCAGAGCAATTTAATTAACAAAAGTAGCTAAAACAAGAGAAATTTATAAATATCCATAAATTATTAAAAACGATCTTTTGATAATAAAAATTTCCAATATATATTGATTGGGACGTTATCCACTTACCTGTGGTGTTCCCAAATTTTCAAAGATTTTCTCCCTTTTTAGTTCCTATCAAAATCTTCTTCTTCCAAACCCCCTATAAGAATATAAGATAATGCAATTTAATTGAATTTCTATAATTATAAAAATTTCTTTCCAGTTCTAATTCGATTCCAAAATTAAATCATAAGACAACACTATACTTTATAAATTAATAACCATAAAACTTTCAAGAATTCACTTAATCTCTCAATAATATAAATAAATTTCTTCGCAATATTTGATTCAATTTCACAAATGAGCAATACCCAAACCAATTCATGTTTCTTGCGAGATCCAAGAGAATTATAGAAAAATGCCCACTCAAATATCTCCTTTTACCATTTCCAAGTTAAATTCACAAGATCATAGCATCCTAACCGATTATGTCTTCCAAGGAATTTAATGAGATTTTTGTAAATGCACAATCAAACAACTCTCTCTCACAAGAATTTTAACAAAAGTCTTCTAGGCACTAACCTCCAAATTTCATGTCCAAGTTTTTTTTTACATCATTCAATTCAAACAAAATTTATTTGACTCAAAAACTCTGACCATGTTCATCATAATCATACTTTTAATACATAAATTGTAGTTTAATTCCATTCTTCCCTTCCCTCAACAGTCGCGGACAGCAGCAAGGCTTAAAAGGAAAACTTGCAATTTGCACAAGGTTACATCATACCTCACACTCACAGGTTGGTCAAGGGAAAGAACAAAAGATGAAAGCTACTCATTTCAAATAAACCCAAAAAATATATATATATATATATATAGCATAATCTCCATTCTTTTTTTCTTTTTTTTCCTACACAGCACGGCCAGCAGCAGATTTCCAGAAAAAAAATATAAAAATTTCAGCTTCAACCATTCATTATTCATACGCACAGTTCAAACCTCTAACACATCCATACACACATAGAAATTTAAACTCAAGAAGAGCTCAGAGCTTCACGCTACACAGCAACAACAGAGCAGATAAATAAGAGGAGAGAAATGTTTGGTTCTTCTGCTCAATAACAACAGTTCCTAAATTAGAGAAGAAGACGAAACTCATGGCTGAAAAAGGAAGAGAAGAACTCACGATTTGTACCACAATACAGTGGTTTATGGAAGACACAGAGCAGGAAAGAACGAAGAGTCTCGGCGATGTCACAGCAGCGGCAAGCGGAGTTTCTACTCCTGTCGATGGCGTGTCGAACGGCGGTGGTCAGAGGTGGCAGAATTGGAAGAGAAGGACGCGAAGACCCAGAGGAATAACGAAAGAACGAAGGGGAAAAACAGAGCACCTCTCTTTCTCTCTCACTCTTTCTCTCGCGTCTGGAATGATCGAAAGGGGAAGAGATATTTCATATTTTGAAAGGAGGGTAATTTGGTAAATTCATGAAGCAAAATGCAGAAAGAAAATAAAACTCTTTTGGCCTCATCAGATTCGAACTCCAGACCAAATGAAAGAAGCTATATGCACATTTCCACTGAACCAACACTCCCTCTTGTCATAATGTCCCAAAATTAATATAACTACAATTTTAAACACAATAATATATATATATTTTTTATGGGTTATTACAATTGTCATTTTTACAACTAGGGAAAGATTTCAGTGTAATCTATTCATTCCTTTTATTAAAACCTTTAGCCATTAATTTGGCCTTAACTTATTTAGGGTCCCATCAGCATTATACTTCTTTTTTAAAAATCCTTTTGCAACCTATAGGTTTCTTACCTGTGGGTAGCTCCACTATTTCCCATGTCTTACTATTTTCTAAAGCACTTATCTCATCTTGCATTGCTTTAATCAATCTTTGATCTTTAACTGCTTCTTTAAAGGTATCAGGTTCACTTATATCATCTGTTACAGCTATGAGTTCCCTATATAACTCAAAAATATTTGCATAAGTAATAATATGTTGCATAAGGTATAAGATTTTTCTATTTCCTTTCTTGTCTATTTTATTTAGAAAATCTATATCAAAACAATCATAATCCCTAAGCCAACTGGGAGCTTTTCTTTGTCTAATAGGTCTATTATTATCTAAATTTCCATTTCTTTCACCACCTAAATCTGTACTGTTATTAGATGTGCTATTATTTTTATCAAATTCAAGCATAGGTTTATTATAGGATGCAAAACAAAATTAGAAGAAATAGCAGGACAAGGAATATCATTAAAAATAAAAAGGTCTTGTGAACATACTTGATCCTATTGATTAGCAGTAGATAGTAGTTTTGAAAATGAAAATTTATTTTCAAGACAAACAACATCTTGATTGGCAAATATATATCATTCTTAATGTCATAAAGAATATATCCCTTTTGATTGTTTGGATAACGTAGGAAAAAACATTCGACAGACCTAGCTTCAAATTTGTCTAGCCCCCTAGGAATCTTAGCATATGCTAAACAACTAAAAACTGAATTGATAAATCAAGCTGGCTCTTATATAATATTTCATATAGTGTTTATAATCCAAGACCTTTGAAAGAATCCTATTAATGATATAAACAACAGTCCTAAAGGCTTCCCCCCAAAATTGAATTAGCATATTAGCCTCTAATATTAAACTTTGAGAAACCTGTAATATATGCCAATGTTTTCTTTCAACAACCCCATTTTGCTATGGGGTATAAACACAAGTGGTTTCATGAACAATTCAATTTTCAATAAAATATGTAGTAACATCATGTTTCACAAATTCAGTTCCATTATCCCTTTTGATTCGTTTAATCTTAGTAGAGAATTGATTTGTTATGAGGCAAATAAATTCTTTTAGATAATAGAAAGTTTCATGTTCATTATGCATGAGATAAATCCAAGTAGCTCGAGAGAAATCATCAATTATAGTGAAAAAAATGTGTAACCTTGATGAGTAGAATCTTTACAAGGACCCCAAATATCAATATAAAGCAAATCAAAGCAAGAAGTAGTTTTCTTTTTACTAGAAGGAAAAGACAAACAAGTTTTTTTGCTTTAAAGCAAATATCACAACAAGAGGAATTAATATAGGACAATTTGTCCTGTAAAGAAATTACATGTTTGAGGATCAAATTTGACGGATGCCCTAATACTAAATGCTAGATATTATCATTGGAAACAGTATTACTAATTTGAATATTAGATGATGGAATAAAACTTTCATCTACCAAATATAGACCATACTCTACTCTACTAATCATCTTGGTTCTACTACTGAAGAGATTTCGTAATAGAGACATGTTAAGAAAAAAAGCAACCACACATTGTTGATCTTTTGTTAGCTCAAAAATTGATATCAAGTCACAACAGATTCTTGGTGTGCATAGAACATTTTCTAAAATAATATTTTCAAATGTCCTAACACTACCAATGTGTGTGATAGTGAGTTTGTCAGTATTAGGAATTTTTATTTTAATTGGGTGCCCACTGTATTCATGATAAGAGTCAAGAAAAGACAATTTACTCATAACATGGTTGGAGGCTCCTGAATCTAATAACTAGTATGGTTGTGAAATTAAGTGTGGAAATGTAAGAAGATGAATAGGAATCCAAACCTGAAGATTTGGCCAAGTCATTAGTAGCTACTCCTCCTACTAAAAGTGATTTAGCTAAAAGAGATAGGATTTCTTTCTTTAAATTCTCAATTTTTTCTCATAATCTTTTGGAGATAGTAGCTGGCGATCAAATGAAGAGTCTTGTTGTAGTTTTGACATGTTATGGGAAGTGGAACCTCAACTTGATTTGCTTGACTAAGTGGATTCCCTCATCCTCTTCCTCTTGGAAAATTAGGAGGGAGTCCGATAATGTGAAAATAATTATCTCTTGTATGGTGTAACATCTAAAAACTTTAAATCTGGAATAAATTGTTAATTAAGGAATAATTTAATTAAGAAAATGATTAATTAATTTAATTATATTTTTAGGTTGCTAATTGGCTTCTTGGGTCATATTTAGCTTTAAATTGACCTAGGATGGAAGTTGGATCGAATCGGATGGCATCTAGGGGAGTAAAAATGACTTTTTGCTTGTTGTGTTGTGAACCGTGGCTTGTGTGTCATGTGCTACACTCACAGCATAGCATAGACAGCATAAAAAATGAAAATCATCAGAAAAAGGCAATTTTGTGAGGGAAAAACCTAGGACACGAAAGGGAAGGATTTAGGCACTGTTAGGGCTTTATTTTGGGAGGATTTTAAAGTTAAATTGGGCCTCCAAACTCTTGAGTAAGTTTTTCACCTTTCTCTTCTACCTTTTCATCTCATTTTTCATGGAATTTGAAAGTGAAAGAATTTGCTCTGAATAGATTAAGCTATGGGTTTATGTTTTAAAGATTTCAATTGACTTTAAAGGTTTGATTAAAGTTTCTTAACTTTGGATAAGTGGTAATATGAACCTTATTTGTTGTTTGGTGCAAATTGGATCAAGCCCTAGCTTGATTATGAGGCTTTAAAGTGTAATAAGTTAAGATATTAAGTGTTATGTTATGATAAAGTTAGAGGGAGGCTTGGGGGGAATGTGTGGAGAAATTACAATCTTGACAAGCCTCTTTATTGAGAATATAAGTGAGAAGTAGGAGAATTGGGATGTTATTGGTAGCTAATAGTGCTTGTCTTGATTAAAAATTAACATATAGTACTTGTTGTTGTAGATTATGGTGTGAGAAAACTTGCTTTAATACAAGAGGAGATTTAGTACCACGTGTAACCCTTTTAGTAACAAGAGGGTTGAGGTAACTAGATAATTTACATTATTTATTATCTTGTATAGATTATTCTCAAGTTATTCTTATATGATTCGTTATGTATATACATATAAATTTTATAAAAGTTAACTATTTTAGAAAATGAGTGGAGTATTAATTTGTGAAATTCTATATTTTTATAGTAAGTAGTAAGAATTGTTATATTTGCTTAGAAAGTGGTTTATGCATGGTCAAGTGGAAATGTGTAGTGAAACATGGCATGTTAGAATGTAGGAGGTCACCCTAATTAAGTTAGCAGAGATTAAGTCCATATAGTACTGCTGGCACCTTAGGATGCCAGGTCCAACTCATATTTCTCCTTAGTGCCTGAAAAAGGGTGCAGTATTAGAGACTTTCTCTCTTAGTATCCAGAAGGGTGCAGAGTTGGAGACTATGCTCTTTAGCATCTATAGGATACGGTGTTAGAGCAATGGCACCCCAATTACTCGTAATAAGGGGAATCTGTAGTCTAGAAGTGGTTTAGGATGCCTTGGCTGGGTAGTCTTACCATGAAAGATGAGCTTGGGGACCATACATGTGGTTTGGTTTTGTGAAATAGCCTACCAGTTCAGTCGGGAGTATTGGAGGATTGGATGATTAATGATCATGCATTTTATTGTGGTGAATTATATATGGTGTGTTTGTTATGCATGTTTTAAAGCTTGTTTATAACTTAGCATGTTAATAGATATTGTAGATTATTTTAGTTACTGAGATTTTTATCTCACCCTGTGGTTATTATTATTTTATAAGTTCTACAGCTGAGTTTGAGTAGGAAAAGGAATCGGACAAGGATTAGGAAATTATCTACATTACAAATAGTAATGCCCGATTATATTTGAGTGATGTACATAAACTTAGTAATATGATATTATATGTTTTCAATTAGGAATGCATATCATTTTGATTGATTGTACTTGTATTATACTGTAATATTTTGTATTTTAGCCTAATATTTTATATGATGTGAATATGTAGTGTTTTTTTAGTGATAGGCTAAAATACTAATACAAGTGTAAGAAATGTTTTATATATGCGATGATAATGTATATGTGGTATATTACGTGACAATAGATGCCAAATGGTGTATATGGTAGTGATTTTGTGTTTTGACTATATTGGGTGAAATTGGTATTAAGTGGCCAAATTTCATGTTTGGCATGTTTTTATGTATTTAAATGCTCAATCAGGTGTATTTTGGTCCATTGGACCTGGTTTAAGTATCAAAATGGGTTAAGGGTATAAGTTTTGAGTTTTGGTACTTGGATGCTTGAAAATCATTTTAAAAATTGACTTTTGCATCCGAGTGTCTAAAATTCTTATACAATGTTAAATCATAACAAAACTTATATCATTCGTTAGCTTATTAAATAAGCTTCGTGTGGGAGCTTGAATCACTCCAATCAGATATTGGATGCGAAAATGGAGCGCGTTCGAAGTTTGTTTTGAAAAGCTATCATGACAACATTTTTGCTATCATGATAGGGACACGTGTGCCGTAGTGCATTGCACACAAGTAGTGGCACATTGTATAGCAGTCAAATTTGCCTCTTTGTGCCACATGTTACAGCACATATGCCATA